GTGTTCATTTTTTACCAAAAATAGGATTTACCATGCAGATCATAGTAAAAATGATCTATGTACACTCTACCCTTAAAGAATTAAATAATAATTTATATATTAGCTCATCTAGATTATTAGTTACAAATAAACCTTCAAGTCCTAGTACTAATCAAATTAATTATTCTTTGCTCAGAATATATGAAGATTCAGATGATGAAAATAGTATTTCCGATAAAGTTGCTCGATACTTAGCTTTACCAAAAGTATCTCTGAATTATAATGTACTAGAATAGTGAAAAGGTTATGTTAATGTTTTGCCAGTTTTGTCTAGATTAGCAATAAAATATTTAGCAATTCTTGCTATATCCATACCAAGTGAAAAGCTGTTTTCTGATGCTAGTTTCTATTTATCTGCTCATCGTACTTGCTTAAAACCTGAGTTATTAGCATCTATGCTATTTCTAAAAAGAAATATGAAACTGTTTGATATTTTTGATAAAAAAGAAAACTGATTATTATTAAAATTAATGTAATAATGAAGCTAGTTAAAAGATTTTAGCATATATTGTATAAGGATAAAATCATTTTAAATAAATTTTTTGTATTTTATCAAATTTATATAAAAATCGTGAACTAGATAATAATCAAGTAATTGTTCAAGTAATTGTATGAATATTATAGTTAGAAGAAGAGACTTATACCAAGTTTATATTAGAAGAGTAGTTGAATATTATCTTTATTAATAATTAAAACTATTAGAACTAACTGTAATCATTATATTCTTAGGAGTGATACTCTATATACTTTCTATAACAAATACTCAATACAGAATTTATCATAAATTGGTTTTATTTATTTGATATATTTACATTATATTCTTTAAGTTCTCTTAAAATTCTTTAATACAAATAAGTTCAATATAGTTTGAAAACAATGATTAAGGTAGCAACTCAATGAGATGATCTATTAGAGTATAGCTAAACTTTATAACTTAAATTTTTAATTTAATAATTAAACAGTATCAACCAGAACCTCAAGATTAAAAATCCATACTAATATCGTCTTTAATAATAGTATCTGCAATATCATTTGAAAATTTAAATTGTATGATTATTCTATCTTGAAAACTAGGATTCTGAAGATTTCAATATCTTTTTTTTTTTTTTTTTTTTTTTTTTTTTTAAAATAATGCCATAGTAGAAACTTTTTTTTTAAGTAGAACAAAAGTTCTGTTTTTAAAGATTTCAAACTACATTTGTTTTACATAAGTTTAACATCGTTAAACAAAGCACTCAATATGACATTACACCTCCTATTCCCTATTTTAA